AATTTTATGCGAAATCATAAATTCAATATTTATCTTAGGTTTACGGTTGAGAGCGATATTTAGATATAGCAAGTTGGGAAGAACTGCTGACTTGTTTCACGAGTTCTGACAGTGGGTGAAGTACCACAAGAGGTTCCCCCACATAAGGTTCCAGATTTTGAAAAACGAAACGATCAAAGAAAGCGAAATTTCACTCTACAAACATTTCACACATACAAACATTTTTGTGTGAAATGTTGTAGAGTGAAATTTCGCTTTCTTTGATCGTTTCGTTTTTCAAAATCTGGAACCTTATGTGGGGGAGTTACCAGAAAAAATGACACAATCTCTTCCATCTTAATAACAGATCTTGTGTTGATGGAACTATTGAGATGTACCAAGTCCAAATGGAATCAGATGTTAATTTCGCGTTTTATGAGCTTCATGGATATTCATGCTTTGATTAATTAAAATATTGTGAGTGTGAAATATAAAGAGAATCGAATGCTTATTTAGGATTTCATAATCGTTTTAATTATTCAAAACTTTGACGCTTTGTGGGGGATGTACCAGAGGAAGTGATCCGATCTCTACCATCTTTATGACAGGTCTCGAGTTGATAGAAATGTTGAGATTTGTCAAGTCTGAATGGAATCGGGTGTTAATTTCGCGTTTTACGAGCTTGACGGATGTTCAAAATGTTGACCTTTTGTGGGGGAGGTATCAGAAAAAGTGGACCGATATACTCCATCTTCATGTGTGTAATTTGAAGACAATCGGACTCTAAACATAACATTTTATAAGAGTCATAATTATTCAAAATGTTGACCCTTTGTGAGGGAGGTACTTGAGGTAGTGTGCCGATATTTTGCATTTTTGACCTAGCACTGATGCAAATATTAGCATTTGCAAATTCAGAGCCAAATTGGATTATCTTTTCTCTTTCTGTGCAAGAAAAAAAATATTTAAAAATTTCGACCTTTTGTGGGGGAAGTACCAGAAGGAGTGGACCGACATTGGGCATTTGCGAACTCGATCTATGTTTGATAATAATATTACAATGTACCAAGTTTGGACCAAATCGGATACTCCCTTCGAGAGTTATCGTGAGCATCAGCCAGTTAGCCAGACAGACCTCATTTTGTAACCATTCTTGGGAGGCGCGTGCTGAGTTCGATGTTGCTGAATCCTGTTGCAATATCCAAAGACTGCGGTCAAAATGTTTGCGTGTCCAAGGTTTTAATTCACCCTCCAGAATATTTTCGCCATAATATTCGGTATTTATTCTGATGCCACGGTCGATTAATACGAGAGGAGAGCGACCATCGGCTGTTATGGCGGCTCACACCATCACCATGACCGGCGCTTGAGTTCTGGTGGCCAAGCGAAGGTGCACATTTTCAGCTGACCTCTTTGGCAAGTAAACACGATCATTTTGTTTGTTTACAAACTGCTGGACAACGAATGTTTTCTCATCGGAGAAAATATCTCAATTTCAAAAAATCAAGAAAACATTTCATAATTTTTGAAATAGTCAAATAATTCTTCAGTATGGTCCATTTTTTGGTAAACCCTGCTAACCAAATCTGGCGAAATTAAATGGAAAATACGGCAAAAATGTTACAACACTTAAAATCGGAGATTATCCTTATTTAGCGACTATTTCAAGTAGACGGACATGACCCATTTTGTAAAGCAAGATTCTGAAAGTAATCGAAATGTCTCTATAAATTTAGAAAGCTCTAAGTCAAGTATTGCGAAATGTATCTCGAAATATTGGTACCTTAAAAAAGTTTGCCCCGAAAATGTTTGCATTCCAAAATATCATAATTCAAATATTTTCAATAATGTAAAAATTGACTTCTGATGTAAATTTAGAAAAAATAGCTATACTTTCAGTCTATTATTTGGTTTTTCTTGTGAATATTTTTTTTTTGTGTAATTGAAACAAAACAAAATTTCTCTTTGTGTATCAAAAATGATAATGCGATAATATTGTTAAATATTTGTTTTTGGATTTCATTGTTTTTTCCTCATTGTTGCTGAAAATAATTCCCTAGGTTATTGACTTGGTCATCACACAGACACAGACACAAACACTGACTCACTTCTAACCTGTACACAAAGTAGTAGACTGTCACATGTTTCGTACCACTTCCACAACTTCGTCAGCTGGAAATTCATAAAAAATTTCACACTAACCTAGTTTGGGGATTTCATTAAACTTCCAATTGACGGTATTTGCTAACCACAGCTGGCTTGCCTGGGGTTTGCATTCCACAAAATAAGCTGCAAATTTTATGAGTTCGCGGCTGAATTTTTAATTTATTGGATGTTCTAGTTGTCGTTAGCTGCTGCTGCTATTCACAAATTCATAATACAACATAAATACATATTTACATATTTTTTAATGATTTTCATGCAATTCTTTGTCGTAAAAATTTCAATGTATGATTGGTATTTGTGTCAACGGATTCCCTCTCTCTCTCTCTCTTTTGTTGTGTCACACTTTTCTGGCACCGCATTCAATTTCATTCTTTATTTAGTAACTTTGGGTTTGATGACATGTGTGTGTGTGTACCCTATGGAACTCGAAAATTTCGTAGATAATAAATGTTCGGCCCAAACGACTGTGGCCTGACTGACTTGTTCTGTTACTTTGTTTTTGAGAATAATTCAGGTGAAAAGAATTTTATTAATTATGAATGAATTCATAAATGTCAAGATTTAATTTGCATAGTAATTAAAATGCCCCTCATCTCAAATAACTTGTTTTGGATTTGAAACATAGAAACAAACTAACAGCTTCTGGGGGAGAATAACACACACACACACTGTACATAAATGTAAAAAAATCAGACCAGACCAGTCTTGAATGAATCATTTATAAAATACTTTGAAAGTCTTCACATACATACACGTTTTGGAGTATAAACAACGAAACAATTCCTTGCATGTGTCTCCCCTATCTAATGTCACATGTGTATGCGGATGTGAATGAAACAAACAAAAAATGCACACACGTCATGTCAGCAGACAACTCTTAAGACCCAATTGCACTTTTGCCATCCGGTTCGGTTTGGCATTGCTCCAATGTTTTTGTTGCTGTTGGCTGCTGCTCTACTATTACCGATTTGAAGTTGGGAATTGTAAATTGAGAGCAAAAAAAGAATAAAACAATAGAAAATAAAACATGAAAATGCAGCAGCATTTTTTCGCGTCAGTTTGAAAGGCTGCACAGATTAGTGGAGGTTTGTTTCTTAAGTCTTTTGTTTTGGTTTGTACGCTTGAGACTAGTTTTTTAAACATACTTTTAAGAAGCTAGTGCTTTTTGAAGTTGATTATTAGTTTTAAATTCACATATGACCATTCGATATTTAACAATTCTGGAATTTGTTATTGCAGGTTTTTAAGTCTTTTGTTTTTTTGGTTATCTACTTGAGACTAATTTTAAACGTACTTTTCGAAAATTTATTTTTTTAGTCAGTTTATGATACTTGTGTTAAATTCTCAAAAGACCATTCGATTCCATAAAAACTCTGAAATTTTTCGTTGAAAACTTAAATTGATTGATTTAACAGTTTTTTTTTTCTTAGAAATACCACGAGTATGTTGGTAAATTACTGTTACGAAATTTAAGAAGTAAGCATAGGCTGTTGGACGACCATTTATTAAAGTTTCTGCACATCTGAATCACTAGGGTGATTAAAATGAAGATTCGACTAAGAAACATCCCTGTATCTACTACAAAATAAAAGCAAATGTTGAACCTTTTCGAATAATTTTTATAGATCTGGAATTTTCCAAAAAAATAAAAAAAAAAAAAATGTACTATCTCATCTACCAAGCATTGATACTTGACGATCAGATATTTCTACCAAGTAATTCGCTCTTTCGCAAATAACAGAAATTTCACATTCAAACAAATCTTTAATATCATTTTTTAAATAATGTCATATAGTCCTGAAAATGTTATTTTTTTATTTTTTTTAAACAAAATAGTGGTTTACTTCATCAGAGAAATATAACCTTATTAAAATGTCTGTCCATTGATCCTTAGTTGAGAACTAAAGGGTGACTGCGAAATATCAACAATTTTTAGGTTTTTGATATATTTTAAAACCCTAAATAAAGGGTGAGATGAAAAAACTGTACCCAACATCAAACTGCTGTCATTTCTAAGCCACTCGTCCGACAGCTGTTAAAATTGTTCTAGTGACAGCTCATTATATTTTTTTCAAGCGTACAAATGCATTTTGGTAAGAATTTTCTAGAAAAAAAAAATATTCGTAATGAAATTCAAGTGCGATAGTGTGATTTCTTTATATTTGGCTGGAAAACTACAAGTGGTAATCGCATTTAAATGTGAATAAATCTTTTGTGTCTCGTACCATCGCTCGTTACGTGATACTGGTAGCGTAGCCCGACGTCAAGGAAATGGACGGAAGAAAACAGCAACATCAGCAGAAATGGTTCGATAAGTAAAGAAGCGACTTGATCGAAACCAGTTTTGCAGTGGCCGAAAAATGGCTCGTGAGGTGGACATATCGCAATTATCCATTCGGCAAATATTGAAAAATGAGCTCGGGGTAAAGCCATTGAAATTCCAAACAGTCCAAGAACTTACACCGCATTATATTTGTGATTTCGCTGTAATTAAATAATTTGCGGCTAAATTCGAATTTTCGTATTTTTTTTCGATTCAATTGCAAAATCAGAAATTTTTTCTCTTTTTGATCCATTTTAATCCCTAAGTATTATGCGATCATCTCCAAAAACAATAGGTTTCTTTTCCTAACCCCACCTTCATTTCCGATTTCGTGAGGATGTGGTCATAATTGCGACCTGTAGAGTGTTTACAAATTAATATGAACATGAACTAGGTCGAGGATCTATATATAACATTTTATAACTTGGACCAATATTTCGATGTGTTACAAAGTTTTGGCCCTCAACGCACAGTGTTGTAGTTTAGAAAAGTACAAAATTGACTGAAATAGTATATGTCTAAATTTACTTACCTTGTTATTAAATATCATGGGTCTTCATTCAATTTCTGCAAAAATGAGAAAAGTACGACATTAGATTAGGTTTCAAGTTTGGTAATTCCATTATTTGGAAACCATATATTTCTATATATTATTTTATAAGCGAAAATTGTTTGTTTCCGTACGTTTTTTATTGTAAAACTAGTAAAATTAAGTTTGCTGTGAGGGAGAGACTAGCAAATAGTGAACATATCAGAATTGAATGGTAATGCTTTAAAATCAACATATAAACCAATCAAATGATTTTTTGATTTCTCACACTAATTCAAAGATTTTGATTTATAATTTCCGTTGTTGTGCAAATATGTCAGTCAAGGTGGAGTGATGGCGCGCAATATAACTGGTTCCATCGTAACCTTGGACATAAAGAAATGTTCTGTTATATTTCAAAATATATTTTTTTCGCAAAAAATAAAAAAAAATGTATATTTTTAAATTTCAGACAATGTTTATAATTTTATAGGGGGGCTCTTAAATAACAGGTTCATTCCGTTTGTTCTTCATTCATTTAATTTTGCTATGACTAATACAAATGTTTTTGTTATGAAATTTTATTGCCCTAACATTCACTTGTTTCTTTTAGTCATTACCATTCTTTTTGTGTGTTTTTTTTTTCTTTTTTTAGAATTGATATATTTTTTGTGGCTTAAAGAAATCAGCAAAATGTTTTTGTATTTAAATAAGAGTTAGGCTATTTTTTTAAGTTTATTACTTAATTAAGCTTAGTTGTAGTTTTCAAAAATATTGTTATACCCTTCACCACAAGGTGGTCAGGGAATTATGTCTTTGTGCATTTGTTTGTAACAGGCAAAAGGAAACGAGATATACCCACAGTTCCTTTTGATGATCTGCATAGAATCACATTCTGAGTCGATTTATGCATGTCCGTCCGTCCGTCTGTCCATGTATTTTTGTAAACAAAGTGCAGTTCGCATTTATTGCCCTATCCAGATGAAATTTTGCACAAATCATTTGTTTGGCCCAAGGACGAACCCTATTGAAATTGGAGATAATCGGTCAAAATTTAGATATAGCTCCCATATATATCTTCGTCCTATTTGCCCTTTTTTGTGCACCAAACGTCTAATATTTGCCCAAATAGTATGGAATTTTGCACATACAAACAAATTAAGCCTGAAAAAAAGTATCCCAAATTTTATCGAAATCGGTTCAGATATAGCTATAGCTCCCATATATATTTTTCATCCGATTTGTTATTTTTGTCCTCCGCAGCCGTAATATGCACTCTGTAACAACAATATTTGGGGAAATATATCAAACACAGCTCAGAAATTCATTTGTTAAATTTTATCGAGATCGGTTCAGATTTGGATATATCTCCTATATATAACTTCGTCCGATTTAGTTTTTATTGTGCACCAAACGTCTAATATTTGCCCAAATGGGATGAAATTTGGCACTTACGAGTATAGAAGCTAGTATAGAAGCTAGTTTGTCAAATTTGGTGAAGATCGGTTCAGATATAGCTATAGCTCCCTTATATATTTTTCATCCGATTTGTTATTTTTGTTACCCACAGCCGTAATATGCACTCCGTAACAACGATATTCAGGGAAATATATCAAATACAGCTCAGAAATATCTTTGCCAAATTTTATCGAGATCGGTACCGATTTGGATATAGCTCCCATATATATATCTTTATCTGATTTCAAATTAATTGTGCACCAAATGGGCAATACAAGTCCGAATTTAAAATATACAAATGCTTCGGCATATTGAGTCCTTTGAACTTTAAATTATAATTATAATCGAAGCGTGTATGATTGAATTCTCCCATTAAAACTTTTAATTGTTATGTGGAGCTCTACTAAATTGGCAAAGTGGTGTAGGGTATCATAAAGTCGGCCACGACCACGACTTTAAGACTTTCTTTACTGGTTTTTCTTTTCGAAAACTTATGTTTTAGACGATTTGTTGAAATGGGAAATAATAATAACATACTGTCTTAAAATCTGTGATTTTATTAAAATGTTTTATTATGGTTCTGGTTCTGGTTCTCTTTATTATTTAATATTTCGATTGTCATCGACAATCATCTTCAGAGATCTGTTACAAAGTACAAAATTGTTTACAAAGTGATGAGAGAAATTACACAACACACAAATCTTACATTAGCCTTGTTTTAGAGGAAAACGTCTACTCTAATTTAACGTCGAATTCGAACTAAGTCTTCTTCCATCTGTACTCATGTACTAAATTTCTATAAATACAGGGTGAGATAAAAAAAACTGCAGCAAAGTCAAAGGCCATATTTTTTTCTGTTTTACTTCAAATATTAATGATTGAAAGCAAAAAAATGTCGGAAATGGCATCAAATTTTAGAATAAGTTTAGATTTGTTCGAATTGGTCAACTTTGGCACGAATTATGGCCAATGATTCAATATTTGCCGAATGGAATATTGCGATATGTTCAGCTCACGAGACATTTTTCGGCCACTGCGACGGGAGTTTCGATCAAGTCGCTTCTTTGTTTTTCGAACCATTTCTGCTGATGTTGCTGTTTTCTTCCGTCCACTTCTTTTACGTCGGGCTACGCTACCAGGCTACCAGTATCACGCTAACGAGCAATGGTACGAGACACAAAAGATTTATTCAAATTTAAATGCTAGAGTGCTCTAATGATAGCCACTTGTGGTTTTCCAGCTAAATATAAAGAAATCACACTATCACGCTTGAATTCCATCACGAATAATTTTTTTTTTCTGGAAAATTCTCACCAAAATGTTTGCGTTCGCAAGTAAACAATGCAATGAGCTGTCATTGAAATAATTTTAACAGCTGTCGGACGAGTGACATTTATAAAATGACAACAGTCTGGAGGTGGTTGCAGTTTTTTCATCTCACCCTGTATAACCTTAAAGTTCGGTCTATGTCCTGTTAATGTGCAATGTTGTACTAGAGCTGTCTTCTGGTCTAAAGGTTTGTATGATTTTTGATTCCATTTCCGGAAAGTTTAGTTTTTATACCCTACAACACTATGTGTTGGGGGTATTATAAGTTTGATTGGGCCAAAAATTATGTAACACCACGAATGGATCTTCCTATCTCGCCGAGCTGAGTCGATCTAGCTATGTATGTATGTCCGTCCGTCCATGTTAATTTGTAATCACGCTACAGGTCGCAATTATGGCCCGATCCCAACGAAATTTTGCACGAAGGTGGGGTTAGGGCCAGAATAGAAGCCTATTTCCTAAATGGACCAAATACTGAAAAAAAGTCGGATTTTGCAGTAGCTATACAGGTCGCAATTATAGACCAATCGACGGAATTTCGCATGTAGCTATAGTTTAGGGTGGGGAAGAAGCCTACCAATTAGGGTGGTCATCGGATAATATTTAGCGGGTAAAATAGACCATATCTTTTGTGTTGAAAAATTAAACCGCGAATATTTTAAATCCCTTCGAAATCACGAAGCCATGACAAGGTTACTTCTGACCATCACTTTGATGTTAACATCCAACAAATCGGATATATAGCAAAATATGTGCGATATATATGTCTATCAAAGAAGATATGCTTGAAAGATCTCTTATATGTCGAGAACGGCTGAACTGATTTCGACAGTTCTCATTAAATCAGAATGGCCTCTTGGCAGGAAAGAAAAAACGTCTAAAAAATCGCATAAAAATATCTCTCTAAAGATGAAAATATTGATTTTGTAATATTTTCTCATATTTTTTCAATTTTGTCATATTTTTGGCATATTTTCATTTTGAATTAAACATTTGGTAATATTTCTACAGCTAACAAAACTAAGTAGTTAGGATATCAGGATATCATATACAGATCACATTTATGGCCCGATCCTTACGAAATTTTGCATGGGGATAAGATGAGGGTCAGAATAAAAGCCTACTCTTTTTGGAGATGATCGCCATATATTTAGGGGTTGAAATGGACCAAAAAACTGCAAAATAGTCAGCAGGTCGTAATTATCGCCCGATCCTCACGCACATTTGAATGGGGGTTACCGGACATTGCAAAAGCCAAGCAGTTTGGGATGGCCATCCAAAAATATTCAATGTGTGAAATAGTTTGCCAACTTATGTAGACAAAATACGAAAATGTCCATTCCAGTGACTTTTTGGAGAATTCACAAATACAGGAAAGACGCACTTCTGACTTTTTCGTTAACGCTGATTTCGTGGAAGAATATAGTCAAATGTCTGTATATCATATTGATGCGTTTCAGTCAAAAACCAATAATTAATGCTAATCTTTTGCCACTTCTGAGAGATTATAGGTCTTTGGGAAATATTGGTTCCAGATCTAGGAAGACCATTTACGTGCAACATCTACCAATAAATTGGAAATGGGCAAATTAGTTTAAGTTGCTATTATTCGAAAATTAGAGAACGAAACCTGATGGTTTTCTTTTATTATTTGTCACAATATCTATATAAACTGTATCGTTTATTATAGTGTTGTAGGGTATTCAACGGTCGGCCCCGCTCGACTGTAGCCTTTGCTTACTTGTTTTGTTTTTGTCGTGCTAATATATACCTTTTGGCATATATTGGTTTCGTCGTTGCATGCTATCTTATGGTTGGTGTTTGGTGTTGAAAATGAGATAAATCGGTCCAGATTTTGGTATAGTCTCCATATAACGGTACCTCCCTATATTCGGTATTTTGATGATTTTTGCCACATTTTTTTTACCGATTTATCTGATAATTGGTATTTGTAGGTCATAATGGGTCATAGTTCGTGAGGCGAAACATTTTATGTATAGCTCCACGTTTTTGTATATCCCCATAGAACGACACCTCCCGATATTTAGTATTTTGATGATTTTTGCCAGGTTGTTTGCGGATTTGTCTAAAAATTGTTATTTGTGGGTCATAATAGGTTCTAATGTTTCTTTTACCCTAAGGTGGATGGTATTAAAAGTTCGGCCCGGTCGAACTTAATGTTTTTGTACTTGTTAGTCTTTGTTTTAGTTCTACTGAACATATTGTTGAAACGCTAATTGGTATTTGACCT